GACACTCAGGAGAGAGTTCGAGGGAATGCGTATGGGGGGAGATACCTCGGAAGCATATGCAGGAAAGCTGAGCGGCCGCGAAATATTCCATCCTAGGTGGGAGGCTGGATGATGCGACCTTTGTAAAGAAATTGTTTGATTTTTTACCCAGCGAATATTATCCTGTTATTGCAGGAATTTAGCTGTTCTGTGACTTGAGAAGTATACCGTTTGAGGAAGCAGTAGGGCGAATGAAAGTGTTTCAAAAGGGTGTGCAAATAAAGAAGCCCATCTCTCTTGAAGAGAGTCAATTGCTCCTCACCGAAGCACAATGGAGAGAACGAAATCGTTGAAGGAATTGCAACCGATTTGGACGCAATGGCCAAGACAAAAGCCACATTAAATGTTACAAGTGCGGAAGAATGTAGCACTATGCATCTGATTGCAGAAGCAAGCAAGATAAGGCATAAGTCAATTTAACACTTTTGGAAGAAGAAACTACCTTCCCTCGCATGAAAGATAAAAAACCAATATTATTTTTTTTCCGGATTAGAGACGGAACTCGTTTGAAGTCGTATATGGATTAAGGGGGAGATTGTTGGAAATAATCCAACTGTGACAGACCAAGTCCTCGTTGATTTAATTTTTCTGCACATGGGTGAATTAATTTTTGACTATTTTAAAATATTTAAATTATACTACTCATATGAAAATAATAAATAAATGTATTTAAAATTGATAAATTTATCAAAAGTAAAAAGAGATTATCTTTTATAAAGTGAGAAAAGAAAAATTGTCTAAAAGTATAATATTTTCAGACAAAGAAATAAAAATAAAAATGAAATAATTTTGAAAGATAAAAAATAAAATTTAATTTTAAATGTTATTAAATACTATCAATTAAATTTAATGTATATATAACTAAATATATTAAATTAAAATGTGTTTGTTTTCATCCAATTTTTCCCCCCAAAAATATAAAATCAAATTCATATTTTTTATTTTTATATTATACTAAAAATTAATTTTACATTCAAAACATCACATCAATACTTATTTATGTCACATCATACAACTATTCTAATTTAAAATTTTTATTATTCAAATTCTAATTCAAAATCTAAACCCCCAAACAAATACACCAATAAATATCATAGATAAATTATTATATATATTCGTAACGCTGGTGGGATCCATACCCATTAATATAGCTCTTGTAGCTAATTTGAATACCCGGCTTGAATTTCAAGCTGGGCGATCCCACCCCATTAATATAATGAGTGTGGGATCCACACTCATTCTTATATAACCCATAGCCCTTGTAGCCAAATTGAATATGAGGCTTGAATTTCAACACCGGCGTATAATAATATATTGCTTATTAGAAATAACACGTTCTTGTTATTATTAACACGGACATGTTTGTTCTAAATCACTTGCCACATCAGATTCCGTTATGCCACGTCAGTTTATTCCGTTAAAATTTTAACGGTGAGACTAAAAATGATAATTTAGTTTTTGTATAGGATTAATTTTGATAATTTTTTTTTTTTTGAATGAGACCAAAAATGAAAAAAATGGGTTTAATTGGGACTAAAATTGATTTTTACTCTTTATTGATGTGATATTTTGAATTTAAAACTAATTTTTAATATAATTTAAAAAAATAAAAATTAGTGTTGTGAGTTTTACTCATGTATTGAGCCGAGAAAATCTAAAAAGATTTCTATTGTTTTTGTTAGGTTGAAGACTGACTTTTTGCGATTGGATTCTTGGAGTCGAACATGATAACCAGAAGGTGATTATAGTAGTCAGCTCTACTGGAATGCCAGTCTTTATCTCTTGAGATTAAAGAAAATATACTCCAGAGTGTGTTGAAAGAGGGAAAGATGATTGATTGCCAACATTGACATCCACATTTGAACAACAAGCCAACAGAAGTTGAGGCCTTGTGCACTTACATGTAATAGGGAAATTAATGCATTTAGTTGAGTGTTTGTGGTTGCTGAAAGTGGACTTTCTGTGTGGTTTGCTATACTATGCTTTTGGTACAACATGATCGAATATTCCTGAGTTGGTATTTTAGACATCAATCCGGGTATGGTTTGTATTCAGGACCATTCTAAAAAAATGTCAGCCGTTCAATCAAAATTTTAATTAACGGATGAGATTGCAATTAAGGGTAGATATGTAATTTGATTTTAATAATTAATAAGTCAATGTTTTATTTTAGCATAAATTAAGGAATATAAATACAGATAGATGCAGGTCGTATTCATAATTTTAGTCGGTTCACATCAAAAAAAAAAAAAAAAGATAACTACATCTTTCACCGACATCCATCCAAGAAAATAAATTGTGAAGAAGTCGGAGCGTAGAACAAGATGAAGCAAAATTATGTGCATTTGGGTCAGTTCCAGTGTGTCGTGGACGAAGATAACGTTTTAGAAATTACAGAATAGGATAAAAAATTTTATCGATCGCAAAAATAACGTATTGACGAATTTTTATTACATTATATACCTATCTTCTAAACATCATATTCTAAATATATATGCATCATATTCGTATTAGTCAATCCAACGTATTAATAGTTGCACACAAGAATTGTATAATAATGACTGAAACAATAGAAGACTTGCAGGCTTCCATTAGTTCAATTAAATACATTAAATTTATCCTAATTGTTGAATCCAATATTTGTGCGAATGATATTTAGCCTAAAAAATAAAATTATTTACATTATTTTCTTGAGACAATTTTAAATTTTATTATATTTTTGTAGAATTTATGCAAATACTCACTTATAAAATTTAATTTTCTAATATAATTTAATTGATTGCTCTGTGAAATTATATTTGAATTCAATAAGATAAAGAGTATACTTTATCCAAATTTTAAAGTATTGAATTAAAATAATTTGCCTTAAATTTAGGATCAATCTTCAAATTAAATCATATTTATTATTTTTTTATTATTTAAATGCCTAAAAAATATATAAAATATTTATCCAATTATATACTACGTAAAAAACGAGAAAGCAAGTAATTTAGTTACTCAATATTCGCGCAAAAGCGACATCATAATACTAAATTTCCTAAACAATATTATAATAAAATAAACAACATATTTTATAACAATATATTATTTGACTTTTCAGGTGACGACTATTGGACAAATGCTTCTTTTTCGAGCTTCAATGATGTGTACAAGTCATATTATAAATATGCGCATAGACAAAAATTTGTTGTGCAAAAACAAATACAAAAAAGACAAAAAGTGATCATCAAATATACAATACATTTATTATTGCCGCAATAAAAGATGGTGCAAAAATAATAGTAAAGTTTACCCCAATAATAAACGAACATGTTCAGAGGATGTTGTCACTCAGTTATACATATAAATATAATGGTGAAAAATGTATATAATATAATCCATCACTTAAACCTGAACAATATATCATAACTATGTAATATAAATCATAAATATAAATCATAAAATGAAATATATCATAACTAGCTATACGTGAAACATTCTTATATGCAATTTACATCATTTATATTTGATGTATATATCATGTCTACTGAAGTTATATATCATATATATATATATATAAACATAATGGTGAAAAATATATCTAACACAGTCCATCATTTAAATCTGATCAATATATCATAATTATGTAATATATAAATTATAAATATGAACTATAACATGAAATAAAAGTGTCCACAATAAGGTTTAGTATCATCATTCTATCATGAATTAAACAACATATGTGTCATGAATATACATCGTACGTGTCCGAAGGCCAACAAATTTTTTTTTAGGAATAACTGTGTTGAGATGTTTTTCTAAAAAAGACTAATCAATAATACATATATATGCATGATCACCATAAAAATATTACGCAGTATTGAAAACACAACCACCAAATCTGTCCGTTGGGCCGAAAGAGCTTATCGTTGTTGAAATTTGATATTTTTCTTGGCACATATGGTACTTGAATGTGCTTCGTTATCTTCGTTTTGGGTTTAATAGAAGCCTCGCGATCTCACTTAGTTGAATCCGTCATTGGAAGATTCGTCAAATGTGAACTTCTAAATAAAAGAAGAATTGCGCGTCCTCGCTGACTTCCGTCAAGTGCGGATGTGCATATAGAGAAGGAAACGATGGTGGCGGCGGGCATGGCTGTAGAGGTCGGCGGCGGCAGCTGGCGTGGCTGAAGAGGTAAGCAGCGGCGGATTGTGTTGTAGATGAAGGCAGCGCCACGGGAGAGGGAGTATCTGCGTGGTGAATTTAGGGCTTGGTAAATAAGATGGGATGAGAAGGGTTAAAGGGTTAATATATATATATATATTTAATTTCTAGTTTATTTAAATAATTGTCATATCATAATCGGCGAATTGATAGAATATATCATAATGCATTTACTTGGACACAGTTTAATTAAATTATATAAGAAAAATATTTCATGGAAAATATCATAATAATCTTATATAAATATCATTTTGTGATACAATATACATCTTTATAATTTGAATTTATACGATTTTAAAAGTAACTATTTGAAAACGTTTTTGTTTTGTTTAAGAAAAACTTAATCCCAAAATTATCGAAGGTAATTATGATAACTTTTTCTAATTGATTTTTTCGAATTGATTTTTTTAATTAGATATCTTAATTAAATTTTGAATTACCAAAATACCCTCAATCAAACTCAATTGTTGGATTATCAGTAAAATTGATCCAACTGATTAAAGACATTCAGGATACTCCTGAATTCTAATCAAAATCAGAAGGATACCAAAATTCTTTAGACATATATGAAGTTGGAGATCAAACTAAATAAACAAATGAACTACAGTCTTTAAACACATCAAACTTTAACATATTGGTAATTATTTCCCTCCTATTGTATTTAGTGTTCAGAATTGGATTTTTAGTGATGTAACACATCGTTGTGAGACATTACTTATTCTTGTTGTAATGAACACACATCACTTTTAATGAACGAATCAAACCATGAAAGGTTCCATGAACTCTTCATCTTCATCCATAGCTATCAAAGTCTCCGGCGCCAACCAAACTTCAACGTCCACCCAACCAGGCTCCGGCGTCGGGTAAACAATCATCTTCCCGTCAAAATTTTGTCCCATCCCACTTCCCACGGCAACCGGCTTCCCCCATCCAAAGTCGCAGCCATACACATTGTGCCACGGCGAACTTCCCACCAAAAAAGTTGGAACTGCAATCTTTTTAACCAATGCTGGATTTTTCACCCAATCTTGAACAAATTTGATCTCTGTATCCCGGCTTTGCCGAGCCACCGAATCATTAATCTTTCGCGCTGCGTATCCTAATCCATTCTCCAATATCTCCGCCTCTTTACAAACCATTTGCACCACCATAGCTGCATTCCCAAAATAGCCATCTGGGAGAGGAATTCTTGCCTTGCACCCACATGAAATGCGAAGCTGACATCCCGGCCTTCTTGGTCGTTGCATCCTTTCTTGATTTTTTTGCGATTCCGGGCGCGTGTGACGCCCTGCCATAAATAAGCAGAGACTGCTTGCAGGGATGAGATGCTGTCCATCCCTGCTTCTTCATTGGCCTTGGCTTTGAGCTCAGACACTGTTTGTTTACTGAAATGGAAAAACCTTCGGAGCACTGTAGGAGGAACAAACTTATCCAATTCATTCTGCTGTAATGGAGGAAGACTGAATGATTTAATTCCATCAGGAAACCAACGTTCAATAACAGGGAGTTTTGATATTCTGTCGGAGCCCGGGGAGATCTCCGACCAAGAATTGAAGAAATGCCAGAAAGCAATTCATCTACAACAGAATGCTTGGCCGTGCAGGCAATGAAGAGACTGTCTACGAGAACGGTGACTTGCACTTAGAACACGGCCATCGAAACCCCGTCTGAGTTCATAACTTCTTTGAGTGGGAAAAGGGAGTAGATCGCGTCCGGTAAGTATTTGGGCTCCAACAGTTCGGAAATGTACACGTTGCCGGCGACGGCGTGGGTGAACTCAGCTCCGGTGTTGCTGCAGATGATATGAAACGATGTCGTGCCATCGCTGGTTGCTGTGGTGCCGAGGCGCCCGGCGAGCGGAAGAAAATAGTCGAGTGTGCGGGAGAGCGTGCACTACAAAAAAATAATATATTTGTAACGGAATTCCGTCCCTAAAATTCACGTAGCTAACGTAATTCCATTCATATTTCCGTCTCTAATGTCATTAGTAACGGAAAAAATAGATTTAGAGACAAAAAAATTTTGTTACAAAAATAATTTTTTCTTGTAGTGGTGGTTTTGAGGTGATCGATCAGTAGGGTTTGGGATTCGAGGGTTTGATAGCTATCGTTTCTGAAGAAAATCCCTCTCTGAATTGGGCTCACTTGAAGCAGCTGCAAATCCCATGGATTGAGTTCGATGATGATAGAATTAATTGGGGTCGAATTTGTGGCCATTGGAACAAGGTATGAAGAACAGATTTCGATTTGGGCCATTTTTTATGGAAAGAATAATTTTTTGGAGGGTCCGTTGTGAATTGCATTAGCTAAATGTGACAATATCATTATTTGTATATAGATATATATATATATATATAATATATTTGTGTATTTTATTCCAACAAATAATTTTGTGTTGTTTTGTACTTATATTTATGAATTTTGGTATTTGATTAAAATTCATGAGAATCTGAATATTTTTAATCAATTGGATCATTTTTAATAGCAATCCAACCATTAAGTTTGATTGAAAGTATTTTGGTAATTCAAAAAATTAATTAAGATATCTAATTAAAAAAAAATTAATTAGAAAACAATTATCGTAACTACTTCCGATAATTTCGGGATTAAATTTTTCTTAAACAAAACAAAAACGTGTGCAAATAATTATTTTCAAAATCGTATACATTCAAATTATAATGATGTATAGAGTATAACAAAATGATGTCTCTATTACGATGTTTTACCATGAAATATTTTTCTTATATAATTTAATTAAACGATGTCCAAATAAATGCATTATGATACATTATATCAACTCGCTCATTATGATATGAAAATTATTTCAATAAATTAAAAATCAAATATATATATAATATTAACTTTTTTTAATGATTCTCACCCCATCTTATTTACCAAACTCTAAATTCACCACCCAGATACCCCATCCCCCATGCGCGGCCTCCGTCTACAACATTCTCCACCTCGGCCGCGGTTGACCTCTCTAGCCACGCCCGCCGCCGTTAAATAACCACCCCCGCCGCCGTCAAATAACCACCCCCGCCATCAATTCATTCTCTATCTGCACATCCACACTTGACGGAAGTCGGCCATGACGCGCAATTCCTCTTCTATTTAGAAGTTCACATTTGACGAATCTTCCAATAAATGATTCAACTAAGCGAGATCTCAAGGCTTCTATTAAACCCAAAACAAAGAGAACGAAGCACGTTCAAGTACCATATGTGCCAAGAAAGATAGCATATTTCAACAACGAGAACCTCTGTCGGCCAGGCAGACAGATTTGATGGTTGTGTTTTCAATACTGCGCAATTTTTTTATGGTGATCATGCGTATATTTGTATTCTTGATTAGTCTCTTTTAGAAAAAAAATATCAACAGTTATTCCTAAAAATCTTTTTGTTGGCCTCCGGACACGTACGATGGATATTCATGACACATATGTTGTTTAACTCATGATAGACTGATGATACTTAACCTTATTGTATACAATTTTATTTCATGTTATGGTTCATATTTATGATTTACATATTGTATAGTTATGATATATTAATCAGATTAAAATAATGGACTATGTTAGATATATTTTTCACCATTATATTTATAAATATGATATATAACTTCAATAGACATGATATATGCATCAGATATAAATGATGTTATGATATATGCATATGATATATATTTCATTTTATGATTTCTATTTTTGATTTATATATTGCATAGTTATGATGTATTAGTCAAGTTTAAATGATGAATTATGTTATATATATTTTTTTCATAATTATATTTATATGTATAATTGGGCGGCAACATTCTCTAAACATGTTCATTGATTATTGGGGTCAACTTTACTGTTATTTTTGCACCCTTTTATTGCAGCAATAATGAATGTATTGTATATTTGATGATCACTTTTTGCCTTTTTTTGCATTTTGTTTTGCATGGCAAATCTTTGTCTATGTGCATATCCACAATATGACTTGTACGCATCGTTGGACCTTAAAAAAGATGCATTTGTCCAATAGTCGTCACCTGAAGAGTCAAATGATATACACTGTTATAAAATATGTTGTTTATTTTAATGTAATATTGTTTACGGAATTTAGTATTATGATGTCGCTCCTGCTCGAATATTGAGTAACTAAATTACTTGCTTTCATTTTTTTACGTAGTATATGACTGGATAAATATTCTATATGTTTTTTAGGCATTTAAATAATAATAAAAAATAATAGATATGATTTAATTTGAAGACTGTTTCAACTCTCCATACTTGTAGAGGTTGAACATTAATTTAAAGGCAAAATTAGTTTAATTTTTCAGCACTTCTATAATTTGGATAAAGTATAATGCTCTTTATCTTATTGGTTTCAAATATAATTTCATAGAGCAATCGATTAATGTATATTAGAAAATTTAAAATTTTAAGTCAGTACTTACATAAACTTTACAAAAATATAATAAGATTTAAAATCGTCTCAAGAAAATAATGTAAACAATTTTTTTTTTTTAATTTCAGGCTACATATCATTCGCACAAATGTGTATTCGATAATCAGGAAAATTTTAATGTATCTAATTGAACTCATGGAAGCCTGCAAGTCTTCTATTGTTTTAGTCATTTATTACATCATTCGTGTATGCAACTATTGATACGTTGAATGACTAATACGATTATGATATATATATTTAGAATATGATGTTCAGAAGATAAGGATATGATGTAATTAAAATTCGTCAATACGTTACTTTCACGATCGATAAAAAAACTTACCCCATTCTGTAATTTCTAAAACGTTATCTTCGTCCACAACACACTGTAACTGACCGAAATGCACATCATTTTGCTTCATCTTGTTCTACGCTCTGACTTCTTCAAAATTTATTTTTTTGGATGGATGTCCGTGAAAAAAGATGAAGTTATCTTTTTTTTGGTGATGTGAACTGACTATAATTATAAATACGACCTGCATCTATTTGTATTTATATTCTCTTAATTTTACTAAAACAAAGTATTGACTTATTAATTATTAAAATCAAATTACATACCTACCATTAACTGCAATCTCATTCGTTGATTAAAATTTTGATCGGACTACTGAAATCTTTTCAGGATGATCCTGAATATTGTATTCAGGAGCATACCCAAATTGTATATTTATATATGCAAAGTGGTTCACCTATTCAATTATTTATATAATAAAACTCATTAGCTTTATTAAAAAGTACAACTATTACATATATATATATATATATCCTTATATACAACTTACATATTATAGTTTTATATCATATTTATACACATAATAGTGGAAAATATATCTATATAGTCCATCAGTCAAATCTGATACATATATCATACCTATGCAATACATAAATTATAAATGAAAATCATAATATGAAAAAAAAAATACATAGTAAGGTTTAGTATCATCAGTGTATTCTGAGTTAAACAACATATGTATCCTAAATATACATCATATGTGTCTTGAATATAGATCGTACGTTTTCGGAGACCGAAAAAAGGTTTTTAGGAATAATTGTGCGAATATTTTTTTTTTCCAAAAAAGACTAATAAAAAATGCACATTTACGCATGATCGCCATAAAAAATTATGCAATATTGATAAAACAACCACCAAATCTGTTCATCGTCAATATGCTCTACCCTCCCTCTCCCCCTACTTCGCACCACAGGAAAATCGAGAGCGGAGGCAGAAAATGTGTTCGATGGCGCCTGGCGCGGCTAGAGATGTCAGGGGCGGCGGTCGTCAACTGCGGAGGTATAAATAGAAGTGGAATCGAGGGCGGAGGTGGCTAGCGTGTTTGGCGGCGTCGGACGCGGCCAGAGATGTCGGCGGAGGCGGTTGTCAATTGCGGAAGTGTAAATGTAAAGGGAATCGAGGGTGGAGGTTGCTAGCGTGTTTGACAGGGACAGACACGGCTAGAAATGTCTTCGTTGGTGGTCGCATAATGCATGGTCGACGAAGGCAAGGCAAGGAGAGGAGGAATGGAGTCTTCGCTTCGTAAACTTAGGGTTCGTAAATAAATTGGGGGTTGGGAGGATCAAAGAATTATATAATTATTTGTTATTTTACTTATAATAAATAACCTGTGGATTAAAAGGTTATATCATAATGTATTTGAAAATATCATTCTATTAAATTATATATGGAGTGTATTTCATGATAAAATATAATAATAGTGTTGTAAAGATATCATATGTGATATCCAACAACATCATATGTACGATTTAGAAAAGTAATTATTTATAAGCGTTTCTATTTTTAATTAGAATTGACTGAATAAATAGGAAGTAGTTAAGATAATTGATATTTTAAAAATTAAAAATTATTGAATTATTTTTTAAAATACCTAAAATACCCCCGACTAAATCGACCATTAGATTGACAATTAAATTGATATAATGATTGAAATAAATTCAGAATTCTCCTGAATTTTATATAGCATCGGGAGGATACTAGTATTCTATATATACACTAGTGTTTGTTTGTTACGATCTATAATAAAGGATCTTTAATATGTATTGACCAACTCTTAATTGTTTTTTCTTGTGAGTCCTTACTTACAAATTCTTTTCTTCATAGCTCCCTATTTATAAATTTCTTCTATAAATATCTTGTTTTATCCTTTAAATAATATTTTATTTACTTTTTTTGCTTTGACTCTGTTACGATGAAAAAAAAAAAAAAAATCTAATTAATCTATTTTCACATGTTAATAATATTAGTTACAAAAAATGTAAATCATATCTTTCATATATTGACGACTACAACAATATAAATTAGAAATACAGAATTTAAAATTTTAACTCTTTCATTCTATATTAGCTTCTTTTTTTTTCTTTTTTTTTTTTTTTGAGAATCAATGTTAAACCTTCCTCCGATCGAGGCTCCAACCAACGATATCAGTACAAACCAACCTAAACCACCATAGTTAAGCACCAACATCATGCATCGAATTCGAGTTCATGGTTAGGTGTCTTCCAATGTTAATTTGGTAAATATCTATATAAATAAAATATATTTTAGTTTGATAGTATTGATTATACTAACTTTTTTATTTATTATTAATTCGGTAAAGATTCAATCGTTGTTTGTACTTTTCATATAAGAAAAAAATAATTCAAATGAAGATTTGTACTTTTAAAATTCATTTTAAATACTTTTCTATAGTGTAGTCGGTAGTTTACATG